CTTATGCAATTTGAAGTCACACTCGGGACATTCTTTACAGTGTGTTAGTTGAAACTATCTATCTATCTATCTATCTATCTATCTATCTATCTATCTATCTATCTGTCTAATGTCCTATCTATCTAACTATCTATCTATCTATCTAATGTCCTATCTATCTAACTATCTATCTGTCTGTCCGTCCGTCTGTCTATCTATCTATCTGTCTGTCCTTCACCATCCATCTATCCATCCATCTATCTGTCTGTCTGCCTGTCCTTCACCATCCATCCATCTATTCGTCTATCTGTCTGTCTGTCACCATCCATCCATCCATCCGTCTATCTGTCTGTCTGTCTGTCTGTCTGTCTGTCCTTCACCATTCATCCATCTATCCATCTATCCGTCTATCTGTCACATCCATCCATCTATCCATCTATCTATCTATCTATCTATCTACCATCCATCCATCTATCCCAACCCTGAGAAGTACACTAATCATAATGGGCCTTGATTAATTTATTCCACAAATTAAAATGTCCAAGTTAATTGGGGTCTTCTTATTTCTATAAATGATTTAAAACTTATTATTCTAAAATGCTATTAATTTTTGTGTTTGTTTAATTAATGAGGAAAAACTTTGATCGCACTTTTAACTAGAAAATCACTTGTGAAAGTTACCTAATCTTTTAAATGGTAATTTAATATGAAGTTGTTTCTCCTGCACAACAATTAGCCTAAATGAAGAGTAAATGCAAATTCCATCATCTTCTTAAAATTTATCCTGAGAAAAAAAGCCTAGTATTCTCACATATAGACTTTTGACTAGTCTGGTCCACTTTGCTGCTTATTCTGAACAGGATGGCACGTGACCAATCACAGTTTGTTTTGTGTTCACTTAACATTTAGAGGCGAGTTTATCTAAATTGGATGATTTCAACAATAATAGACCAGTGTGTAAAACCCAAACTCAAACTATGGCATGTGAGTCACAGAAAACACAAAAATTCCAGAGGATTATGTAAATAAATGAAACTGAGAGCTCTAAAAGAGCAACTTCTGAACAACAAAATTTCCCCTGACTTTAAAACTTTGCGTGTCTTCATAATAAGTGTACTTCTCTTATAATCTTGCTTGTCTTTTAACAACACTCTGTGTTCCTGGCTGAGCAGTATAATATCGATTGCCAAAGCCTTTCACGTTGCACTGTGATGTGGGAGGCTCACGCTGCCCCGGATCTGTCTCATGTAGTTTAGCAGAGCACTGTAGACAAATAAATGCAATACAGACCACTGCAAATACCCAGGGAGGTAAACAGAAGACAGCGTTAATCTAATTGTATTAGGAGCTGCAGTGTCGGTTTAAAGCTTCCAGTGCAATCTATTTGATTCCATCACTGAGAAACAGCCCTGAAGAGAAGCCCCTCCGCTGTCTTGTTTGTTAAGGCTGTTTTATTAGAGAGCTTTTCCATTTACTGTCCCAGGTGAAGCACTGAGTGCATCTTTATTGCTATTTAATCATGTCCGCTGATAATCTGAGGGAGTATTTTTCATTTCAAAGGAGACAGAGTATAAAACGTTCTCTCTTTAAGACTGTACACAACAGAGAGGTTATGGGCACCTGTGTGGTGCGCGCCCCACATTCCTTCCCGCAGGCCAGAAAATCCCACATGAGATCTCTTTAATAGCTCAGAAATGGCTGATAGACAGCTATGAGATTAACTGAGAGGAGTTGAGATGCTCCTCAGATGTTTCTCCTGAGCAACCCTAGAAATCTCACATCTCCTCTGGAGTTTCAGAAGAGATCTTCAGATTTGCCAAGAAATCAAAGTATGAACTCAAAAATGTTCTGATCAGCTATTCATATTCATTTTATAGCTCTTTACTCTCACCGTATTTCAGAAATTGTCTCATTTGAGTCTATTTTAACTGAGAGCAGAGGAGATGCTCCTGGGGATGTTTCTCCTGAAGGAAAAAAACATAGAAATTGAATGTCATTTCGTGAGTTTCAGAAGCGATTTCAACTAAGATCTCAAATTGTGCTCAGATTTGACAAGAAATCAAAGTAAATGTAAAAAAAAAGATGTTTCAAAGTTGTAAATAAAACAAAGATTATTGTAGTACATTTTACAAGAAAATACTATGTCAGTTAGTTCAAATAGTCTAATTCAAACTGTCATGTTTAATTCCGTATGTTACTTGACATTTCATTGTAATTGTTATTCTTACAAAGAAATTCTTAAATTGTGTTCAGATTTGCCAATAAATCAACGTAAACATGTAAGTAATCATGTAAACAATGATTTTTCAAAGTCGTAAATAGAAATATTTGGAGAACATAAAAAAAATGAATAATAATAATAATTTTTTAATAATTAAGGATTTTTTTTCAGTGTATGGACTCAATCTCAGTATGAACTCAAACATTTCTCATTAAATTATCTGAGCTGTTATTCACATTCATTTTATAGCTCTTACTGTATTTCAGCAATTGACTAGTTATTGTCTATTTTGATTTCTTCTATGAAGAAGCATCTGAGAAAAAGCTGATACATCATCATTTGTGTCGTATCACTTGACATTCCGTACAAATGCATCACATGTAAATATGCTCACTGACAATTACACATCTACTGGTGACTTACAGATATCCGATGGTTTGGTTTCAAGGACTTCCTGCTGATTTCAAAGGTTGGTTTATGTCCACACTGAGATCATTAAGAAGCTACAAATGTTTGATAAAGCTATGCTCACACAGCGTGAACAGATAGCCGTCTTTGGTTTATCAAAGGACAAGTGAGCTACAGTAGAAGATTCATGAGTGTTGATGTGGACACGGCTCAATATTTGCATTTTGGAATATTTTATTGGTTAACACTCAATCACTTTCACAATGACAGTTCAAGAACAGAAGAGTCAATGAGGAGCCACTTACAAGCAACACGTGCCTACCATCACACAATTAAATCAGCGGAGAACATTCTGCCTTTCTCTGAGTCTTAATTTCATTTCTTCATCTGTACTTGCGTCTGTTCTTGTGTAGAGTGCTTAATTTTCTTCAGACGAACATGAAACTGAGTAGGAGACGCTCAAAACTCAGTCAACATCATTTTGTTTTCACAGAGGGAGTGATTTTTCATGAGCAAACTTTTCTCCATTTGTTTGTAAACCAAGCCATCTTTCTCCTCAAGATTTACATGCTGCAAAATTATAGCCTACTATTCTTCTGAAAACATCACTATAGGATAGCACCATATTTCATTTCCGACAGCAATGAAAACGAGGCAGTGAGGGATAGAAGTGCAGTGTGTTCAACTCCACTGTTGTTTAACAACATATGATTGCTCAGCTGACCAAAAAAAAAAAACACACACAAGGAAAAGAATAAATCAGTGGACAAAAACTCCATAAAACACTTTTGAAAGTGAGTTGTGAAAATTACATTAACTAGGACCTTTATACCTAGGACCTGTATATATATTCCATCTATAGAAATGACAAAAAGACGTTTATACAAGTGTGCTATTAGTATACTTCTTTTAAACTACACTCTAAAAAATGCTAGGTTGAATACAACCCAGTGCTGGGTAAAACAGGGACAAACCCAGCAATTGGGCTGTTTTGACCCAGCGGTTGGCTTACTACCCAGAAGGTTGGGTTAAACATTTAAACATTTAACCCAACCGCTGGGTCAAAACAACCCAGTTGCTGGGTTTGTCCCTAAAATTACATTAACTAGGACCTTTATACATATATTCCATCTATAGAAATGACAAAAAGACGTTTATACAAGTGTGCTATTAGTATACTTCTTTTAAACTACACTCTAAAAAATGCTGGGTTGAATACAACCCAGTGCTGGGTAAAACAGGGACAAACCCAGCAATTGGGCTGTTTTGACCTAGCGGTTGGGTTACTACCCAGAAGGTTGGGTTAAACATTTAAACATTTAACCCAACCGCTGGGTCAAAACAACCCAGTTGCTGGGTTTGTCCCTATTTTACCCAGCACTGGGTTGTATTCAACCCAGCATTTTTTAGAGTGCACAGTCGCATGTGTCCTTCTCAGCTGTGAACCTTCTAGCTGGTCCTCATCATTCGGCTCCTAAAGAGTTAACTGCTGCGGCAAGCCGCCGCGCGTTCCCGTGCGAGCGTCCCATTGGCTGCGCGGCGGCAGCGCGCGCCGTTAATCAGCTGCAAGAGCGGCTGAGTTCATCTTCTCGCGCGCGCTATAGGGATGCATTGCCACACACAGCAGGGCAACACAACACAACACATCAGGAGCATGCACACAGCAAACATCCCATCAGCTTTAGACATTGATCCTGGCAGCAGCACTGACAGCACCTGACCTCTGCAGCATCAGCACCAGAAGAAGAAGCTGATCGTTCCTTCTCTCAGAAACTGAAAGCAGTAGCACATCATCATCACAACAGTAGGAGGCGAGCAGATCACATCATGCACTGGACTTTCCTCGCGTACATACTTAGATCTGTTTCCTAAACCACACTGGGAATGGACAGCTGTCTCTGATCTTAATCAGCAGAGCTTTTTCAGGACACACTGGACTGATAAAAAGTTCTGTGCTCGTTTACACTAGACGGAAAGTGTAAAGCACGTGCGTTTTCTTTTTCTTTTATGGCCATTTAAAGCCTGTAGCTGTATATTCAAAAGTAAAAGACATATTATTTAATTAGTTAAAATAATATTCGGATACTTTAAGATTTTAGGTGTTAGTGCGTCACTTTATGGTAAGTTTCCTAAACTGACAATTACTAGTCAAAATTGGCTCACAAGCAGTCATAAAGACAGTTAGAGCTTTGATATATTTGGAGGATATGGTTAAATAATACGCTTTTGAGGAACTTTACACAAGCTCGGATCCGTCAGCTTGGAGCGCTTGAAACTTTTCCGCGTAAAAGCGCACAGGACGCGGCAAAGAGGCGGCCGCCTGCGAGCACCATCATCACCAACCCTCTAAAAGCAGCAGTTCTCTCCTCTGAAAGCTGAAAACAAGACGTAGAATGGCTGATGAGCTTGTTTCCATCACTAATGGGATTGTGCTGCTGTGATTTGTCGGATCGGAGGGAAGGTTGATCCACACACACTCGTTTTCTGCAGCATTGCGGTGCGCGCTCGGGGATGATCAGGATCTTCCCGGATTTCAGTGTTCAGGTGACGGCGGCGGCGGCTGCAGGTGCGGGAGCCGGTGGAGGGATGCCGGCTGCGACCAGAGTCCCGGGAGCTACTAACGGGAACCCGCAAAACCTCCAAGGCTTGACGTCTTACCAACAAAGGTACGCTGACTAGACGCAAAACATGTTTCCCCCCCCCCCACGTTTAGGGGACATTCATACTATTCATGTCATATGTGATGCGTCCATTCACATTCACCGTTAACAGGTTTATATATAAGCAATACTGAATTTCCCTGGAGGTTGCTGAAGGTGTGAACTTAGATTCCTAACATCTCAGTTTCACTGAGTTCCAGGTTTTTCTTCGTTTATCAAACACAAAACGCCACACGATATAAAGCCAGCCGTTTACTGAAGCTGTAAAGTTTTACTATGTGCCAAATTCCAGAACACACACACACACACATTTGTATAGAAAAGTCACATTGTGATTTATAGTCAATATAAATGTTTTGCATTCAAATTTATCATACAAATAAGCATCCTTTATATCATATTAAATATTCAAAGCAACTGTGATCATTATAAAACTGGTATCAACTATTTCAATGCACATAAAAGCTCCCTTCAGAACAAATGGTCTCAAATTATTCATTTAGATTGATTTCAAGTGACAACTGAATGCAAAAGCAATGCATAATTCTTATATTCAATAGTTTAAAATAGATTAGAAAAGATATTTTAAAAAAACTTTAATCTCCGAAACCGAGAAAACACCACAAAATCACATGGTGTGTGATTTAGATTTATACAGATATAAAATAAGTCTTCATAAAGTTTGTCAAATTGTTAAACAGACTTAGTATTATTAATTTTTTTCACACAAATTCACACAATCATTATCATCATCTACTAAAGCTAGGTGTTAGACTGGCGTTAATGGATGTGGATGTTCTGATTGTTAGTATATCAGCAGAATCATGTGCACACATGCTTATAGTGTCAGGTTCAATTAAACAGTCTATTTAGAGCACAACACATGGAACAGGACATTAAATGGGGTGGCTGTCAGCTCGTGACCTTGATAGGTCACAGGTTCTAATGCACATCACAAAACAGGCCTTTGTTTATGCCAACACAGATTCGTTTAGAAAAATACAAATCATATATTGAATGTGCATTAGTGCAAAAAAAATCTACTTTAACCATGCACATCTTTCTGCATTTATATCTGTATATCTAACATATGGACACTGCATATGATATATCTTTAATAAAAAAAAATCCACTCTTAGTGCTTTGACACAATACCTGTTTCAAAATAATTTAGTCTCAGATTAAATTAAGCCTCAACTTGGCATGTGAGTTCCTTTTGACAGCTGTCAATCATATCTCTCGACATGTTTATAGAAAATATGAATGCAAACATTAGCGTGCAAACGATCAAAAGGTGTCATAAAGAGATTTCTCCAATCCTTTCGTTGATGCATCAGAAACAACCTGTATATTCCGCATAAACTCAAACTATTTCCAACTACAACTGAGTGGCGTTGTTGCGCCGGCAGTAGAGGGAGATGAGAAGGAGAGAGAGTGAGGAAAAAAGCTGAAAAATGCGGACGAACATACTGGGAAGAAGCGGCTGTGTTCGAGGGGAACATCGTGATGTAAAAGCCTCTCTCCTGCACTGATTCCTGCCTTCGTTTCCTCCGCGAGGACAGCCGCCGGATCGCACGAGCGTCCCCGGGTTTCCTCTCACTTTATTGGCATGCCTTTGGATCTCAGCGTCGGCTGGTCTCGCGCTCGTCTGAACGCGTCTTAACGCACGGAGACACCCGATGGCGTTGCTTAAATGCTCCCGGTTCCGCTGTCAGCTGCTCGTCGCGTGAAATTCGGAGGAAAAAAGTGTAATTAATAATTGCAGGAAGATGGCGCCCACCAAGCCCAGCATTCAGCAAGACCCTTCCAGAAGAGAACGGTAAACGCTCGGTTTGTTGTGTGTCTGTGGAAACGCGTGCGCTGACGGTCATTTTGGACTGAGATGTGAAACTTTGCCCTTTCCGCGGGAGTGTGTGTGTGTGTGAGGTTGGGTAACAGGTATACACGCTGACAGAAGCCGTGTGTGTGTGTGTGTGTGTGTGTTTTGGTGGACAGAGGACATGACCGTTGAATGTGTTCAGCGTGTGTCGAGCTGCTGGCAGGTTTCGCGGGAAATCGGTGAACATTCGAACGCGACCATGTTGCAGCGTTGTATCCGCTCGGCGTTTGTTCTCTCGCGCATTAGGCCAATCTGAGTAAAACACACTGTTTACTGCTGTGAAGTAATGTGCGCCAGGCTGCTGTTTGAGGCAATTTCAGTGTAGATCGATGTGGATTTGAGTCCTGGATTGGATCAGAAACTCTTGATGCGGATTATAATCTGAGCAGTAAATACATTTGGAAATGACAGTTGATCACAAGACTAGTTGGTGTGTGATTGTTCGTTTAGTTTGGGTTTTTATGGACGTATCATTGAATCAGTTGTAGGTGGGTCAGTGCACTGAATCACTGAATGACCTTTTTCATTTTTGCCTTTGTGTGTATATATATACTGGAGTTTATTTTGTGGCTGTGGAGTGGTATGAGTGATTCTGAACGAATGAATGAAATGCATTTGTCCATGTTTCACTCCATCTCGAATCGCGCTCACGGAAAGCGCTTGAGAAACTGTGTCTTTTCCGCGGCTCGGTATGCTTTCAACTAATTTTTTTAGTCTCGAGAAAGACTGTACGACATTCACATTACACGATTTGACTGATTTTTACGTAGAAAGGGCGACAGCGCAGCGCATGAAAAGAAATGATCATTCATGTTTTCATAACCGCTGGACAAATTCAAAAACTAAACTAAAATTAAATCATCATTGAGAGCAAGGGGGCCCCCTGGTGTTTCGGGGGCCCTACGCAGCTTGCGTATTTTGGGTATAGGGAGGATCGGCACTGCTATTCCTTATCCATCAACTCCGCAAAGACACCATTTCAAGCCTGCAGTTGAGTTGTTATGCACCACTACTATATACCAACTCACCTGCTCCAGCCTGTTTTGCTCATTTCTGTCAATAAAGCCTGTAGCATCTCTACATCTGAGCTGAGGTGTGTGATTGTTCTTTTAGTTTGGGTTTTTATGGACGTATCATTGAATCAGTTGTAGGTGGGTCAGTGCACTGAATCACTGAATGACCTTTTTCATTTTTGCCTTTGTGTGTATATATATATACTGGAGTTTATTTTGTGGCTGTGGAGTGGTATGAGTGATTCTGAACGAATGAATGAAATGCATTTGTCCATGTTTCACTCCATCTTGAATCACGCTCACGGAAAGCGCTTGAGAAACTGTGTCTTTTCCGCGGCTCGGGATGCTTTCAACTAATTTTTTTAGTCTCGAGAAAGACTGTACGACATTCACATTACACGATTTGACTGATTTTTACGTAGAAAGGGCGACAGCGCAGCGCATGAAAAGAAATGATCATTCATGTTTTCATAACCGCTGGACAAATTCAAAAACTAAACTAAAATTAAATCATCATTGAGAGCAAGGGGGCCCCCTGGTGTTTCGGGGGCCCTACGCAGCTTGCGTATTTTGGGTATAGGGAGGATCAGCTCTGCTCACTGTATATGATGATATTGAAATTCTTTAAATGATTCTAATTTAAAGGGATAATTCATCCAAAAATGAAAATTCTGTCATCATTTACTCACTCTCATGTTGTTCTTAACCTGTATGATTTAATTTCTTCTGTTCAACACAAAAGAATATATTTAAAAAAAAAACAGTTGCTGGTAGCCATTGACTTCCATGGTATGGAAAAAATACTATGGAAATTATTTTTGGTTACCAAGGTTCAACGTTTTCAACAGAAAAAAAATTAATTAATACAGGTTTGGAACAACATGAGTGTGAGTAAATGATGAAAGAATCTTAATTTTTGGATGACTTATCCCTTTAAGATAATTTTAAACTGTTTGAAACCAGCATACAATATCACTGTAACTGGATGTTTGATTGTGACAACTAGCCCCGGTTTCCCCTGTAGTGATTGCTGACTTGGCTCTACTCACTGTATATGATGATATTGAAATTCTTAAAATGATTCTAATTTAAAGGGATAATTCATCCAAAAATTCTGTCATCATTTACTCACTCTCATGTTGTTCTTAACCTGTATGATTTTATTTCTTCTGTTCAACACAAAATAATATATTTAAAAAAAAACAGTTGCTGGTAGCCATTGACTTCCATGGTATGGAAAAAATACTATGGAAATTATTTTTGGTTACCAAGGTTCAATGTTTTCAACAGAAAAAAAAAAAATTAATACAGGTTTGGAACAACATGAGTGTGAGTAAATGATGAAAGAATCTTAATTTTTGGATGACTTATCCCTTTAAGATAATTTTAAACTGTTTGAAACCAGCATACAATATCACTGTAACTGGATGTTTGATTGTGACAACTAGCCCCGGTTTCCCCTGTAGTGATTGCTGACTTCTCTATATATTTCAAAGGACTGTAGGTAGTACATACGTGCCTTTTTATGCCAGAGAGAAGAAATCAGAGATGATCGTGCTCTAGGCGGCTAAAGTGTTGCTTCTTAATGTCACAGGTTTTGTTATGGTTTGCGGCTGCAGTAAAACCCGAGCTCCCCTTCTACGCGTTTAATGTCCACAGTGGTTTTAAGACCTTCATTTAGTATCTGGCTCTAAAGACAGATGTTCTGCCCGCTGACTCCCATCTGCTTCTTTGGTTTGGCTGTGCCGCGATCATCTAATACTAGCAGCAGCAAGCGTTGCCCTTTACTCGCCCCCTCTAGTGTTCCAGCAGCACTTCTGAGCCCGAACAAACTCCACAGTGCTTCCAAAATACATGTGTAATCCTTCTCTATATGCATTGGCAAAGAAAATGGATTTAAACACATTGCATACTTGGATATGTGTTTGGATTTACGCATATTTGCACAATGGCTTTATCATTTTGATTTAAAGATGTTGCCACTTTTCTCTACATTGAAAACTTGTGTTACATTTAGATGCAAGATGGTTTTTCCATTGCTGTATTTAGGACTGGAAATTCAGAACAGATACACATTATACAGTTAAGCTAGGTTTTTCCTGAATAATACAATA